TACGTACACTATATGAAATAAGATTTTTCAACTTGAGCAATGTATGGTTGTGTCAGTTAGCCCAAATTGCTAGAGGGTTTTACGTATGATAAACACAGTTATTTCTGCTGTAATTGTCATTTTGTAATGTCTTGCTGTGGCATGTTTCATAAGGAAGTGCACGCCCCAGTATGTAATTGCATTGCTTTTTTTAACAGTTTTGCCAAGACAGTTTGCTGAGAGAGCTTTCACGGGTGTCAGAATTATGCTGTGTGATTTTAATTAAACAGTTCTCGAGTGACTGGTAGTGAAGCAGTAGTTAGGTCTATTATGTAACGGGACGTATTGGCCGAGATATGATGCAAGTGCCATTACATTTTGTAACATTTCGCACACTTTACGAGATGATGAAATGCTGCTGGGTCCTTGGATGTGCGAGCAAAGAGCGGTCAGTCTGCTGCCGTTAATATGGGGTGATTGAGGTGCATTTTGTACACGGGAGATGAAATTCAATTTTTTACAATGAGTTGGGACTGTGTATCTTTAGCAGGTTAGCTGATCGAAAGCTGATCTTTGGCACTTGAATTGTTGAGAGTGGTTGCATTTTCCATTGTGTTTAAATTGAGAGACCAGACATTTTGGAGCGTGTGGGTGAGATTTTAACCAGACAGAGCTTGCCAGGAACTGATGATTTGTTTGGAGCACTGGTAAAGCCTAACCTGAGTTTGTTTACGTTGGCTCGTTATTGTAGTGTTAATAACTGCCTGTTAATCATGTCATTAGACAAGGTTGGATCTGCACTCTCGCTCATCTGGTTACATTGAAGACGGTTGCGTAAGAATGTTGACGTTTTGCAAGGTGTTTGAACAGAGCTTTCCAAAGTCAAGAAAAGTGCTGAAGGCCAGCATTTATGGATACAGGGACAACCTCGTAAAGGAGCGCTGAATGTTTTGCGGAGCGAATGTGTGATTTGGTTGTGAAGCAGTCATGTGAGTGAGCTTGTGAATGAGAAGTGGTGCAGAATCGTAGATGGTGCACCTCGCAAATGTTCCTTCAAGTGTCACCAGGTTGATAAATGCACTATTGTAACAATGGGAAACTCATGATGTTGAGGGTATAGACTACCCTCAAACCTCGTTATAACGAAACTGGACATAACAAAATATTGGTTATAAAGAAATACATAAAAAATAGTGTTGCAATAGATGTAGTGTTTAAAATAAACCTCTATAACGAATTTTCGGATATAACAAACTTATTTTCATGTAAGATGCGAGTTTGTTCTGATGAGGTTTGAGTGTATTTTACAGATGGGTTTCAGTGCCACCATATTGGGCAGTTAGGCTTGCCATTTCGTATGTTGAACAACTAAACGGGTAACACTATGGTAGATGCATACGCATGAAAATGATTGGGTTGGTGCATTCGATGTCTGCTGACCTTATTGATTCATGTCATGAGATACGAAATTTAGGAAACATTTGTTTAACAGCCCAGGGTGGTGGAGCCCATGCTTTTTACGTAAAATCGTCTGTTGTAAGTAGTCTGTATGTCCTACTGCAGCCCGTAATGCTACACACGATGTGCGATCATTTGTCGCACATTTGCTAGGCATTCTGCTCAACTGCTACGTGTGAATAATGTAAGTGGCTCGCACATGGTTTAAGTGTGGTAATGAAAAAGTGCTTTATCCAAAAACATCGCACGTTTGTCGCAGGGCAATGTGTTCTGCACTTTTTCTTGATTTGAACATAAGCACCATGCGAACTCTTTTTTTTTTTTTGTCTGTAATCTAACTAACACGAGACAATATGGCAATGTAGGCTGCATTAGTCTCACATGAAGTGCTGCTTGTGTAGTTACCACCGCTCATCACAGAGAGATCTTTATTATAATAATTACGTGAATGTGCAGATTTTGTATGATCCGAGATGGCAAGCTCTAGAACGAGAAAGCTGTGCTTATATATGCAAAGCTGAAAAATGAAATGCAGAGACAAACTTTTCTCGTCTTTCTTTTTTTCTTTTTGGTTCTTACGTCACTTGCTGTCAGAACTGTGTTCCCTTCTCCTTGATTGATTGGTGGTAGACTGGGTCAAGCATTTGTCCCTTTATTTTCTCCGCATTCCCTGTAATGCTCCCTTTCAAATGGCTTTTATCTTGCGTAAGCTTTTGCTGCGAGACACCATGTCACCTCTTTCAATTATTTGTTTCGCATCATGTTTTCCGTTCTCATGTTGGCTACTAACCATAGCAGAAAGTATAAAGGGACCCTAAAAATTAAAGGAAGTGGTACATTAGTTAAGCATTCATCTGCTATAACAAGAAAACTACTCTTCATGAAAGAAGGAGTGACCAACTTGGAAGCACTTGAAAATGAAAGGATATTGCTGCCACCTTAAATTTTCCTTACCAGCTTGCTGTGATACCATTGTATTTAACAGTGTACGTTCGGGCCCAGTTAATTTTCTCTCTGCAAAGATTTGCAACATTGTATTGTATAGCACCCAGAGTAGGAACTTGGCAAGCTTTGAGAATGTTCTGTAGCTCTACAACATGAATTCGGCATTATACTACATTGACATCCATCACATTGTGCTGTTATTCAATAGCCAGATACAAATTAAGAAGGTAGGACAGATCTTGCCCAGATGACTGAGGCATGACCGTGATCTCCGCAACTGAACAAATAGCCCTGCTGGGGATTCGGTTGGTGAAGTTGCCAACCGTCTTGCTGAGCTCACTACTTTGGTCTACACTGTGCATCCATTGGTGATGGTTCATATTAGACAGTCTTTTAGGAGGTGATGCTGCTGGCTTCTGAAGCTGTGCACCACTAGAGATGCCGTGGTTTTGGTATCCAATTCATGAAGTGCGCATGAAGCCTTCATTTTCCCATTGAGCTATCAACTTTCTCGTATGGAATCAACAAAAATAAACGTTTGAAAAAGCGCAATATATGTCTAAGGTTATTCAGTGTCCCTTTAAAAAAAAAAAAGAATAAAGATAACATGCCCAAAATTTATTTTTGTCGTGCTTTTTTTGTTCATCGGTTACTCTGTGCTTTGCAAAAGTGTATATTTATTTTGTGTATGTGAGTAATCGTGACTCTCGCAGATATATTCGTGTTAACATGTGATGCACATGTAATACAGGTAGTGTTAACAGCAGTGAAGCTTCTGTTCATCTGTGTGAATGGAGCCCTACCGTAGTAAGGGACACACAATATGTTAGTTTCTGGAGCTGAACGATTCCACCCAGTGTTCACGAATTTTCATTGTTCGTATGGTTGAATGTCGACATGTGTTGGGCTTTTTGCAGAATGTCCTTGCACGTAGTCTGCATAGAAAGCTTTCCATTATGACTGTTGTGATCAGGGAACTTGTGTTTGAAGGAAATAAATTTCAATTCTGAAGCAGTGATGTGTGCCTCCTTGTTTTACTTGTTTCACAACAAACACCCAAGCACTATGAATCAACAGATATAGTGGCATGAATTTTCTTCCATAAATGGTTTTGATACATTCACTGAAGGATCAAATATGCTGATGCACTAAATTAACCTAGTTTTATTGGGAGGCTGCACCTCTTTGCATGAAATGCTTTAATAAAAAGGCTGTAATGATGCTTCACGTTTCAATTAGTTGTGTGCATGGTTTGTCTTCATCTTCTTGGTTTACACTGAGCGAGTTGAAGTATGAGAACGCCTAGGAAAGCTCATCTTGTCAATACAGTGAAAGTACTGTCGTGAAAGAGCATAAGCGGTCCAGATACTGATATGCAAAGAGAACCGAGCATGGCATTTGCATTGTCTACTTCTCTTATGCATGTGTCTGCACTTCGTACAGTCTTCTATTATGAATCCTTACTAACTAGCTAAAATTTGTCAGTTAAATACTATTGTTCAAAAAAAATCAAGAATACAACCTTTCTGGTTACAATCACAGAGACCTGCATATTTATGGAAACGTTACTGGGTTGGCCACAATCTAAAATGTGGCATTCAGGTTTCAGCAAGGGAGCTTCCATTATTTATGGCACTTAACAATACACTTATTTAAATGCAATGGGAGGTTTTGTAATGACTTCTCCACCTCGATCATTCTCCGGTTTGCTTTGTCTCTCTTCCTGTTAGGTTTGTTGAGTTGTAAGTTATAGCATTTAATTCGAGATAATTTTCTTGTGTGGTTTTTTGACCCTTTATAGATACTTACATCATGAAATCTGTGTTTGACAATCGCACCATTGCGAGAAAATTGTTCTTGGATGAAACAAGACACGAAAAGCGGAGTCGACTTTACGTTCAGGTTCATTTGTCTTGCTTCGGCGTTTCAATGCGAGATCGGACTCCAATTTCTTCGTGAATGGACCGAAACTCTCCACTTTTCTGGCGCGGCTCTAATTCATCTCGAAGCGAAACTTTTCGCTTCTTTAGTCCGTGGGAATGACACTTCCAGGTCGTGAATGATACTTGCAGGACCATTCGCTTTCTCTGCGAATGGTCCCTAAAACCCAAAATTGAGATTACCTAAGATGACTGCATGCTTCATAAAGGAGATATTGTTCTAAAAAGCATGCAAAAACTTTTGATCGCAACAATTGCAATAGCACAAATCTCGAAGCGATTACACCAGTTGTGTTTTCAAAAATGTGCAGGCTTGAGTCACTAAACAAAAGTCCAGTTGGCATCGCCACCACTTAAGACGCTTCGAGCCGAGTGTAGTACGCACACTAGCACGAAAAGAAGCCACAAACGCGGAGTTTCTGGCGGTAAATACAGTTCGCAGCTGCCTGTTCTCGCGCTTGAACAAATTAAATGATTGCTGTCTTTGGCCGTTGATTATGCCATCTTTTCAAGTAGTTTTAAAAGCAAAGCGGCCATCTCTGGGTGTCGCGAACTGCGGCTCCTGTCTTGCACCGTTGCTTAGTCGTTAATTATTAACTCTGGCGCGCACTGGGTGCCGCTGAAGTAGTAACTGTGTTTGCCTAGTGAGTTAGTAAATGCCGTGCGCTCGTTCTTGGAAATGAACTACAACTCTTGGAACAACCGGGGGCGCGGGCGGTTCCGACGGCGGGCCGGTGGACCAAGGTTTGCTCGGCAACGGCGACGTATCGTCGACCCCGAAGACTCGGACGGCAGTCAAGGCGACGACGGAACGGCATTTTCTCCTCGAGTTGGCAACGACCTAAACCACCGTCGCCTATCTGCGCAGCAGTCGACGCACCCGGGCTGGCATTTGTACTTTCCAAACAAGGACTACCCTCCCGACGAGAGCGTCGCGCAGAGGCTTAAGCTTCTGGAGGCCTATTTCGCCGAGCGGGTCTCTAAATTCGTGGGACCCACAGGTGTTGTCGACCGTTCCCGGAGCTCGTACGAAGTTCGAATCGACGAAATTGCCGAAGATGCTGGAGTCAAGGAAGATTGGTCTGATTTGAAAGAGTCCCTCAAGTGCCGCCCTCACGACGTTCTGAAACTCCTGGGTACGCCATGTCAATTATCTCCACTGCTGTTGAACTGACGTTGTCTAAAAAAAAAAAAAAAAAAAAAAAAAAAAAAAAAAAAAAAAAAAAAACAATAGGTTATTCGATTGGAAATTATCTCTACTAAAATCACGCCGAACAAAGTTTAAAGCGTTCGAAACAGGCGCATGTAAACATAATTGTTACTGTGAGCTTGAATATGGTGAGGTCAGTTAGGTTTAATGAAATATGTGTCACAAAGGGAAATACTCGCTTTCTGGCCAAGGCGTATGTGGGGGCTTAACACGACTGCCGAATGAAGCTATCAAATCATTCTGTAACGTTTGATAAAAGTATCAGAAAGTGCTTAACACCCGAAATCAGTGAGTAATGATAAACTTTTGTTGTATGTACACGAGGTAATGAGTTTTTGGATGCTGTGGTCACCCAGGTAATTGATTTGATTGATATGTGGGGTTTAACGTCCCAAAACCACTATATTATTATGAGAGACGCCGTAGTGGAGGGCTCCGGAAATTTCGACCACCTGGGGTTCTTTAACGTGCACCCAAATCTGAGCACACGGGCCTTGTGGTCACCCAGGTATGCGTCACCAACTCGCCCACCAGATTTTGCAGCACAATTATTTGTTTACTCTGTTAACGTGTCGTTATCCTTTTCAGGCCTCGCATTGCACCAGACACTGACTAAACAAGACCAAAATCAAATAGATGTTGGCGCAGTCGACCCACTGCCTGAGTTGACGGTTCGCATTGCTGGTTTCGGGCCGTTGACGCCGCTACGTGATGTCCGCAGCATGACCTGCGGTCGCATGGTGGCCGTTCGTGGCACGGTAGTTCGCGCCAGTGAAGTGAAGCCTCAGTACAGGGCGATTGGTTTCAGTTGCTCGGGTTGCGGGGCTGAGCAATCTGTTGTGCAACCTGGTGGCTACTTCACGGCGCCCACCTGCTGCTCGGAGAGGGGTTGCCGATCCAGGATCTTCCAGGAGCAGGTGACATCGCCCTTGACTCAGCTCGTCGATTGGCAGTCGCTGAGACTTCAGGCACGTCATGACTGACCTCCCCCATTAACTGTGTCAGACAGGGTCTTAAAGGAGCCTTGCAACACTTTTTCAGCATGGTCGGAAAACACTGCCGATCGGTAGTGGAGGCCTGTTTAGGTCACACGAGCCAAACGTTATAGCGCAGCACGCGACCTGGAATTCACAACTGCTTTTCAAAGTCAGTTGGAAGTGATACCCTTTTCCTTCTGCAAATGATGTCGTATACTCAAATGGCCAGGTCGTACACCAAAACCGCAAATAGCATAACCATCTGTAGCAAATGAACTGCGTCCTTGTGCCAAGGAGAAGTCTTCTTTCTCATGTTTTTTGAGTCACCTGCTACATTTTACGGTGCGGGCTGAGGATTTATTTTTCTTGCCCCACAGTAAAAAAAATGTTCGAGTGCCTTGGTGAGGGCATGAATTGTGAGGCATTGTAGAGATCCAGGCTGTCGTATGCCGTCATTGCTTGGCATAACGCTGGCAAAACAAAAAAAAAATAGAGAGGAAGCGAGTAAGAAGTAATAAAAGGAAGAAAGTAAGAAAAAGTGGCTAGAAAAATATAAATAAGTAGAAGAAGGGAAAAAAGAAAAAGAAAACTGGAACAGAGTTAAAGATAACGGATAAAAAACCATGGACAGGGCTCTCTGCATTTTCTTCAGGCTTGGCACCGCTTGTGTGAATTTGCCCCATTTTTTTTTTTTTTTTGCCTTTTTAGCACTGCTTGTAGTCAGCAGATAACTATTGCATGTATTTGAGTGCTTTGCTGAAACTGTTTTCGCGAAAGAAGATGGCATGTCTGACTACAATAATTAGGTAGCTATATATGTTATATTTGAAGTTAATTGCTTTAAGCATGTCATTAATTCAAAACAAGTCAACTTGCTTTTAAATGGGGCTCTAGAACCTTGGCATCTGATTACATCAAATTGCGTGTTCATAGACTGTTGGGTCATACTGTGTATTGCAAAAAGGCTAATTATAATTCTGCCTTTCATACTAATGTAAAACTGTTTGTTGTTCGTCTGTTGAAATTATTCACTTCCAGGAGTCAGACGAAGGTACGGAAGGCGGTCGAATACCACGCATCATTGACTGTGAACTGACCGATGACCTGGTCGGGTCAGCCGTCCCTGGTGACATGGTTACGGTGACGGGCGTTGTGGAGCTTGCACGCTGCGACAATCCTTCAGGTTCTACCGGTCCCGTAGACTGTTACCTGGTGGCGAACCACATTCTTGGCGAGCAACGCGAGCCGGCCGGGACTACAACTCCGTCAGGACCCGACCTCGGTCGTCAGGACTACTACGCCATCGAGGCGATCCATGACAAGCCGGATTTGTTTCGCCTCCTGGTGAACTCGCTATGCCCTGCCATTTACGGCCATGAGGTGGGTTGACTTTCTATGTCCTTCTTATTTGACCCGCCACGGTGGTCTAGTGCATGTGGTGCTCGACTGCTGGCCAGCAGGTTGCGAGTTCAAATTCCGGTCGCGGAGGTGCATCTTTGATGGAGGCGAAAATGCTTGAGGCTAGTGTACTTAGATTTAAGTGTGCGTTAAATAATCTCAGGTGGGTCAATCAATAATCAATCATATTGTGATTTTGAGATGTTAAACCCCAATTATTATTATTATTATTATTATTATTAGCAAATTCTGCAAAAGGGAATATTAAGTAAGCTTTCTCAACCGGATTTCAACAAAATTTACCTCTGGCTCAATTCAGCGCAAATGAAACGGGATTATGTATTATTGAAGCAATCTTTGCAAAGCTGCAGAACTGTTGGCTTTTCTCTTGTTCATAGCCATAATGAATGAAAATTTAGTGAGTGGTGTTGAAATATATTTCATGAAAGTGTAGGCTGTCTGACAGATAAAAGAAAACAGCAGCCAGGTGTGGAATACCACCTATTTCCTAAAAAATTAACTATCGAAATAGACAATGTATTACGCTAAAAAAAAATTCATTGATTATTGCAATGCTGCCTGTGTGAATTCTGTGTGCAGCTTCATGTTGTGGCAAGGCCAACTGTGTTTGAAGTTTTGGCCTTGCACAAGGTATTGACTACATTATAAATGAAAATTTTTGTGAGGGACAGCACCCATTACGCCATTATTCCTCTTCCTGAGGACAAACGAGGTACCTGGTACACATCTGTAAAGTATGATGTGCACATTGTTGGTGCTGTTTATGGTTGATGACAGCAAAGAATTACGGTTGAGCATGTAGCAGTGTCAGGGAAGCATTATTAAACCACACACTTGCGGTGCAATTAGCATTATCTGACGACTAGTCTTTATTTTACTCTTCTGCGATGCTATATAGGTTAACGAGATTCCTTGCCCTGAAATGACACTCTGTCGTAGAATACGAAACTGCCATGCAGCGGCTCCAGGTTCAAATCCCATTGAATCCTGGGAATATTTTTTCTTAATTTGTTTTGTGTCTAATGGTTACGTTGCAGTTGGCAATGATGATGCCAGTCAAGATTGTAACGAGAGCCCTAAGAGCAGTGGTCTAAAAAGGAAGCTGTTGCTTTGCACTACTCTACAATGCTGAGCAAGCATCCTCTCCCTTTTTTGGGGATGTGAAATAAGCGCCAATGGCTCCCCCTTATCCCCTGTGGCCACTTTCTTCTCAAGACGAGCATTGTTTCTGTAACGAGAATCACTGGAGTGTGTACACTGAATATGTATCTAATGTTGCTTATGAACTGCTTTATAAATAAAGCATTTCATGAGAAACATGGATGGACATTTTTTATTTTTAGCGGCTGTCCTGTCACCATCTTGAATTTCGGTCCAGGACCGATCAAGCGCCCCCTTCCAAATCTGGTCAGATTATCCCTAACTTTAGGGGGGGGGGGGGGCACTTTCTTGGCATTTTACGGTAATAGATAACACGAAATTTTACGTTGCATGATAGCTTATCATGACACTTTTTTGGCCCTGCCTGCCCTTCAACCACTTAAATCTATTAATAATCTTCATATGACAGCGATTTTGCAAACAATTAACCATTTTCTTGCTGTAGCTCTTGCTTGTGAGGTGAACCTTGACGGACCCGTAGGTTGTGGCTTTGATTCCGGCTGCAGTGATCGGATCTAGATGAAGGCGAAAGAGATCCGTGTACTGTGTGATGGTAGTGGAGGTTAAAGAAACACCAGGTGGTCGGAATTTCTAGAGCCCTCCACTGTGACGTCCCCCATAGTCATATTGTGGTTTTGAAGCATAAAATCCCACATATTCCAACTCAACTTCCTAAGGCGAAACTTCAAGCAAGCTCCTCCTAAGTTAAAGGAAATTCTTTACTTTTCAAATTTTCGCACTATGTTAGAATATGGATGTTCCGCTTGGGACCCCGGTACAAAGACATGTATTGACGAATTGGAGCGCATCCAAAAGCGTGCAGCACGATTTGTGTCATCGAACTATGATTTCAGAAAAAGCTCTTCCGACATACGGGACAATCTTGGATGGCCATCTTTGCAGGACAGGCGGAAATACATGCGCCTGAAACTGTTGCACAAAATTTTATAACAGGCTTAAGGAAAGAAACCTACATTCTTGATCCTACCTATAGATCTGCCCACGTAGACCATTCCCTGAAGGTTAGGGAATATAGCTGTCGGATCAACCTTTATAAACATTCTTTTTTTCCGAGGACAGCCCATGACTGGAATTGTCTCCCGATCAAAGTTGTACTGTCGTTGCCGACTTTCTTTGATGAAGCCCTCGCAGAATGTTTGTTTAACTAGGTTTGACATGACTATGTGGGATATTCTGAGCTTTAGCTCACCGTTTACAGCTTCTGTCAAGTTGTGCTTTTTACTCTGTCTTTCTTAAGAGGTTATGTATCTATAAAGTTAATTTATGTTTAAAAGTTTACTTTAATATTATGTTTTATTCCTTTTTTGTGTTGTACAACCTGTATCAACCTCTTAGTAACGTGATGTTTAGTCTTTTTATTATGTTATTTATGTTTAGAGTGCTATTGTTATCTTTATTCTTACATAATGTTTGTTGCTTTTCATGTTGTATATACTACCTGTATCTTTTCCTGTTTGTTTCCCCCCTACAATAATGCCCAGTTGGGCGCTGTAGGTATCTGAATAAATAAATAAATTAATTAAATATTATTATTACTACTATTGAACCTTGACATTCGTATATACACGTAGTATTTCCACAAAACTCTTTTCTCTCTAATATGATCTCACTTCTGCAACTTCTTCCAGATCGTGAAGGCCGGCTTGTTGCTGGCTCTCTTTGGAGGAGTGAGGCGGTACTCAGATGATCCCGACCATGTGCCCGTGCGTGGCGACCCGCACGTCTTGGTTGTGGGCGATCCTGGGCTGGGAAAGAGCCAGCTTCTGCATGCCTGCGCCAGAGTGGCACCCAGGGGAGTGTTTGTCTGCGGCAACACCGCCTCCATAGCAGGCCTCACCGTCTCCGTCGGTCGCGGCTCGGCCGGCGAAGCCTCACTCGAGGCGGGGGCCCTGGTTCTCGCCGACAGGGGTGAGCGTCTGCCTTGGCTGGGAAATACAGTGGGGCTGTTGCTGTCCCGTTAATATTTTAGTCTTACTGTGATAGCCAGCGAACCTTCATATATTGATGATACGGGGCGCGAAAAAAACGACACACAACAGAAGCGCGTCGTCCTGTGTACTTCTTCTCTGTTGTGTGTCGTTTTTTTCGCGCCCCGTATCATCATGAACCAGTAGCGCGTCGTCCCGTGTACTTCTTCTCTGTTGTGTGTCGTTTTTTTCGCGCCCCGTATCATCATGAACCAGCACCAACTCGCCCAACTTTTTACTTTACTTCATATATTGAATGCAGCTATATAGTGCGTCACTAGGTATCATTAAGCAAATGTAAAGAAATAAATAAAAGAAGAAGAAAAGGCCAGACCTTAAAAACCTGAATATAGGTCGGACCGGAATATAGGTCTATTCCCCAAATTTTATTCAAATCTCTGAAAAAGAGATTTTGAAAGATCGCATACTATCACGGTGCACCCTTCCCTTGGTAAATACGCGACACAACCAGCTGCATGTGGTGACATTTCTTTTTATTTGGACACTAATCTTGTGTAGTTAAATGCCAGGAGGCCACAAAGTGCTGTCACTCAGACTCGTCTGAACGCTGTGCTTTCAGAAATTTCATAGTGGCTATAGACTATTCCCCGCAAGGACCTGAATCAACTCATTTGATTCGACCACTTATTTCCACTGGTTAAAGTTAATTGTGTTAACTATTATAATTAATGCCATAATTAATGTTTGTATGAATCTGAGGTTGCCTTCTGTCACAGTAAAAGTAACGCCACAGGTTGCCGCAGATACCTCCTTTCTGTGTAATTTTTCAATATTAGTGAACACAATTCTTGAAACACCGTGTATATGCTATATGAATTTGCTTCTAACCTAAAATTAACTATTTGCACAAGCTTAGTATTCTGAGAATTTTCTGCAACTCCAGAAAGTAAAGGCTTGATTTCACTTGTTATGCGTAAAATTCACTATTCCTTGATTGTTCAATTTAAACTAGATAAGGCTTCTATCATTAGGCCATCGTTCAAAGCAAAGCATTGTGGAAGTTTTGTTTATAACACGTGGAAAATGTAAGGCATGCATTTTATCGTTAAGTGTGCAGACTGTCATTCAATAAAAACGGCAGTCATGGAACACATGCTGCCATCTATGTTTCAAGCATAAAAACCCCACTTCTTGATCTGGGCTCACCGAAAGCCATTAAGAACTTTTTTGCAGAGCCATGATTATCAACTGCTGCTTCAGCAACAGGTATATGTGATTGTGGTTAAATTCTACAGTGCGGTGCTCAGCTTTAGTGACACAGTCTCAATTCTGCTGCAGATGCTGGTATTTTAAATATATATATAGCTTGGGAAGTAAAAACAGTGCACAAATATAGACAAGGACAGAGGAAGAGACGACACAGCGCTGATCTCGCAACTAAACTTTATTGAAAGATACATGCAAATATATATATAGCTTATTTCATGTTGCACTCGATAACTAATCATAATTTTATTTGTCTAATTATTACAGTATACATTGATTATTGTTTGTGAAATACCCTTAATAACAAACATTAGTACTTATGAGACGCTTTAACAATGCTTTGAATTACAGGAGTTGTGTGTCATATTTTGCCATGTGCTCTTAAAATGCCAATAGATGCTTCATACTAACATTTTTTCTGTTGTGGAAACACTTATGGCTGCTCCAAAACACTACTCTTTCTGCTCCGAAATGTGCTCTAAAAAGTTTGAAGTCACTTCCATCGCTGCACACGTAACAAGCTCGTGCAGCCTCTATGAAAGATACGTCATTATTGTTCAGCATGTGTTAAACTTCTTTTTGTTTTGTTTCGTCATGAAAACAAAGGTTGCTGCTGCATTGATGAGCTGGACAAGATGTCGACAGCGCAAGGGGCCCTGCTGGAGGCTATGGAGCAGCAGTGCGTGAGCATAGCCAAGGCTGAGCTGACCGTGTCGCTGCCCGCCAGGGCCGGCGTGCTGGCGGCCGCTAACCCCGTTGGAGGCCACTACAACCGGGCCAAAACGGTGGCCGAGAACCTGCGCATGGGCAACGCACTGCTGTCGCGCTTCGATCTAGTCTTTATTTTGTTGGACCAGCCGAACGCAGTGAGTACTCTGGAATAACACAAAGCCGAGATAGTTGGCGCAAATTCATGTTCATGTTGGCGCAAACTGCCGAACAAAATAGAAATTGTTTTCTTTTTCTGCCTTTAAATAGCAACCTTTCTTTTATTGTGCAGTTAAATTGTCTAAAATGCAACTTCAATGCATACCTTTAGGTATGTCTTGCATTCTTAATATACCACAAAATTGAGGTCCTTTCAGCAAAAAACGTACTTCAGAACTACGTTATATGTTGTGCGTCACCTCTTGGGCGCATACACACCAAACTAACGAAATTTTTGAAGATAGAACTTTCGTCAAGAGCTGAGAAAGAACAAAGTGAGAGCTATTGCATGTGCTTCGCGCTCTTCGCCATCAGCTACAAAACAATTTGTTCTAGCTTAGAATACCTTGCACGAGACAGCGCCAAATTTTTCATGTCGAAAGCTACGTTACACGTCAGTGCTTGACAGCCGGCATGACGCTTAAAGAACAGGGTGTGCAAATGTGGACAGACATGAAAAGGCATTTGTGGTGTCCTTACTGATCTCCCGTGTTCGTGTTTGCACGCGCCGTTGGGATTACTTTGGCCAGTGAACAAATCTAGGCATGTACCAATATTTGAGCACGTCAAATATTCTGTAGAATATTACAGTATTCGAATTTGCTTTTTCACGTATTTATGTTATTTAACGTTTCAAAGTATTCAAGATGAATGACAGCAGCTGCATAGCCAGGGCAGGAGCGTAGTCATAATGTTTTTTTAAAGGGGGGGGGGGGGCATCACCTTGGTCTAAAGTGGAGGCTGGGGGCAAGCAGATGTAGTCGAGTGTCAATTTGTTCTCTGTATTCCATGGGGAAAAAAATACTGCAAGGTGGGAGGGCTCACCGGTCCGGTGTGCCACCCCCTGGCTATGCCCCTGAGCCAGGGAACCCCCCTTCTCGTTATGCACCTTCCTGGTAGGGAAAATAAATATGGAGTTTCCCACTAAAGTATGCCTCGTAATCATCTCGTAAATTTGGCAAAGCGAAATCTTATTGTGCATTGACTCACTGAGGTGGCTCAGGGAATGGCATTCTGCCCCTGATCTCGAAGTCGGGAGTTTGATTCTCAGAAGTCGCAGGCAAATTTCAAGCATTGTAAAATGCAGAAATGCTTATGCTCATACATTTGGGTTCCTGTTAAATTGACCCAGATAACTAAAAATCATCTTGTTCTCGACAGTACTTATTATGAAATATCTCATAAACCGCTATATGGTATAACAATGTTTAACACCCCAAGATCTTGTTACTACACACGCTTATTTCTTTATTTTGATGTGATAAGGCTTCGCCTACAAGAACATGTGGCTACTACTCAGTGCTGGCTCCACAGCAAGGTTTGGGAAACTCCTCAGTTGTTTTAAACAGTTCCGAAAAGAGCGTGTGCACGGCACAATTAGTCGAGTTTATCTTGTAGTTAAAGCAAGCCCCAGTGTTAACGCTGGTATTTCCTATCATTCACACATAAATGAGAGCAATCTTCATCAACTAACAGTCTACCGATGGCCGGTAACTGTGCTTGTTGCTATCAGTGCACAGCGTGTATTGCTTGTACGCATTGTTGAAATATCTGATACTGATTAATGTGTTCATTGGTATCATTGCTCTGAGTAAGTCACTTTTTTTTTTTCTGCAAAAGTTCGCCCAGTAAAGTTTTTCGTCCTTACTTGCTCGAGTTCATGTTCTTCACCACCTGACATTACCCTTCAGGATCTCGACCGGCGTCTGTCCGAACACGTCATGGCGATGCATCTGAAGAAGTCCAATTCGCTTTCATCCTGCCAGCAGCTGTTGGAGAGTGCAAGCGACACTCAGGTGTCGGCCATCTTTCAGACGCCCGAGCCGTCGAACTCGCTCGCGCAACGTCTCCGTGGGCCCATGTCGGATCCCATTCCAGCACCACTGCTGCGAAAGTACATCACGTATGCACGACAGTAGGTGCAGCTTCCTTGTCTTTTTGATTGAACTTGCAATGGTGAATCTACAAGCGGTTACAACGAGGAGAGGGCGAATATTGAAATTTTCTTGCACAAGTGAAGCAAACGATTGTTTTTGAATCTGGTCTGCAATGATGGTGCAGCCGTTGCGGTGCTCGGCTGGTAACCTGAAGGTTCCGGTTTCAATTCCGGCTATAGCGTTCACATTTCTACGGGGTCAAAATGCTAGAGACCTGTGTACTGTGCAAAGTTGGTGCACGTTAAAGAACACCACATGGTCGAAATTTCTGGAGCCCTCCACTACAACAGGCCTCAATGTATCGAGGTTTTGGCACATAAAACCCCAGATATTATTATTATTATTATTATTATTATTATTATTATTATTATTATTATTATTATTATTATTATTATTATTATTATTATTATTATTACATTTCAATATACTAAGTCGAATATAGAATATTCTTAAAAGAACACCAAAGTGTGAAGCAAGGGAATCAGTTTAGGCGGTTAAATTATATGCTCTGAAAATTTTACTGTCGGTAATTTAACCATCGTAGGCTCATTATTAGAAGAGGAAAAGAAGGTTGAAGTTCGATTTTTAAACATTGTGCAGGCATCTCCACAGGTGACGTCACTGGTTTCTTTTAGGTTTGTGTTTCAGCTGCACTGAATTCATAAACTTTTTCTTAAATTTGACATGGTAAGTCGGTAACCCACTCCCAGAGGACAATGGTAGTATTCTTTTTTTTTATTTAGATGTATATAAGGAGAGGTTGGTGCCAGTAGTATTTCTTATTTGCTGATTAACTGCGTAGGCAAGGGTAGACGTCGAAATCTACGACGGCACGGTGAATGGTGCGGGAACCTGAAAGTGCCTTCGCCGGCCACATTTTGTTTTTGCGTGTTTTCTCACTTTCGCGTGTCTTCTCATGGAAGCTGTGGCGATTTTGTTATTCTGGAAGTGTAATTTTGTAACTCAAGAAAAATCCGTATTCTCTTTAGCGTGTCTTTAAGCGGAGACCCTGCTTCGGTTACATATTTCTTCATTTTTGAGCAGATTTTTATAAAGAATTTGTAGCTTATGTACTTTCATGTCCTTATTTCGAATATGCGATTATTTTTTAGTACAACTTGCTGTTTCTAAAATATCAAGGACTTCATTTATATTGGTAGAAGCAGGATCTATTCATAAATACAAAGTTAAACAAGAGTTATAAAACAAATCAGCATATTGCAATAACCTGGAATGAATACTGTATGCAGTAAACAAAAACTGATGTTCTAAGCCCATTTAAACAGAACTGACGGTATGTTGAACATCCCCAGCTTGATCCCAGTTTGACCCAGCTTGACATCGCTCACTCTTGCAAATGTTCAATGTACTATAAATTGTGTTCAAATAGGTTTAGAACATTTATTCTTGTTTTGCTACATACGGTAGTCATTCTAGGTTGGTTGTGATACCCTGATTTGCCTTCCCACATTCACAGTTTAGAAATAAATCTTGCTCCTAGATATATAGAAAATGTATAGTAGTTTCAAAACTACATATTGTACAGTTAACGTCCGATTTCTCAGACCCTCAAGGGACCGCAAAAACCTCTGGGAAATCGGGTAGTCCAGAAAAGCGAATGCACGTTAAAATGCACCTTTTTTTGTAGGTATTTTTCGCTTATAGAGAGGGTAATAGCCGTAGTAAAAGATTCCTATTGCAATTCAGCCAATGCATCGTTTAGGTGGCTATGAAAAGAACCGCTTATATTTTAAAAAAAAATGAGACGTGGCCGGCGTTATTTTATAGGTCAGCACAGGTGCAAAGAAGTCGGCTTATTTCTTTTGCACGGCGTTCCGCTTGTGCGCGATCATGTCCGCCTCGATTTCATTCAACGTCATGTTACCGCCGTACACCGATGACAGTACTATCAGTGCTCGCGTCAACTCCGAGCTCGTTGGCTGTGTAGCTCGGTGTCGTTGGCTCTTTGTTCTCGGTGTCAGAGTCGTCGGAATCCTCCATAACTTGACGAATAATTTCGTCATCGGTCAAGTCCGCACATATCTTGAGGTCTTTGTCAGCCTCAACGAAGCCCTCAAAGGTTACCCTGGCTTGAATTGACATGCCGGCTGCACGCAGATCGCCGAAGGCAGGATCCGAGGATGGCAGTTCATCACATATGCTTTCCACTTGGGGCGAGACGACCGTCTTGGCGTCGAGTGTGAAGCCTGCGTGGTGAAAACAGTTCCGCAGAATTTCTTGTGTAAGAGCCTTCCACGATTTCGCTAGCATGCCTACGGCAGACCTGAGATCAACAGCGTGGCTTTTATCATGATGAGCTTACGAGGGGGTTTTGTACGTTTCGAAGGCGCAGATGAAGACGAAAGAGCCGTCGGTGCCATCGCTGTAAATGGTGAATCCGCTCGTCGAAAAGCGCCGCACGAAACAGCTAGGAACTCGGTGGATGCTGAAGGTCGGGAAACGTGATATCTGAAGATAGCGCGCAGCAGCATACAATAAACCGCAGAAACGACAGCAGAGCTGACAAAACAACACGTCAACGAACACAGTGAGGTTTGGCTTGGCTTTGCCACTAAGCTATGGCTGGCAACGGATTGACACGTGAGGTTTCAAGGCTACGGCAGCCACGGCGCGATGCGGCGGTTGGGGTGGTGCTGTTAGCCATACCTGCGATGCGAGGATGGCAGGTTCGATGATATGAAAACAACCCAAATGGTGGCGTTGGTGGTGACTTTGGGTCGGCAGTTAACAGTAAAAAGTCCAGGAAATCAGATGGCGAAGGCTATAAGTGTTCGGAATTTCGGACTCTTTAATACATTGACTCTATGGAAAACTTGACTGTGCCACAGATAAGTGCGGGAAATCCGGCATGTCCAGAATGTCGGGCATCGGGGAAATCAAATGTCAACTGTATTAGAAAAATAATTTAATGGTTGAAATCGGGACATAAATACGTAATGTGCAAAAGTTTTGTAAAAAAATATGCTCAAAAACAAAACGTGTTTGTGAAGGAGGGTGTTTCCTAAAGAGCTGTCAAACAAAGTAACTACTGTATCTTTTATTACTTTATTCGATTTGTACTTGAATTGTTAAAATATTTGTATGCCCCTGGTAACAACGCTAGAATTACAAATACGTACATACTTTGGGCTCCGCCCGTGGACAGTGACAGTCTAAGCTTACAAAGGGGATGATGATAGAGATGAGGGCTTGTTGATTTGCAGTCAAGCGACGACTTAGAGCACAGCACTGTAGCAAGTGTGAGGATGGGAAGTTGATGCTAGCACAAACTATCAACGACAGCTTCTCAGTGTCAAAATCGGTCATACTTAGATGCACATAAAGCTACATGCACAGCGATATCGGAGCTTCATGCTACACGAAAGCACTCTTTAATAAAACGTGCTACCCTGGAAAAAGTCGAGCTGTATGAATGATGGATTTTTCAGCAGGCTATGGGCGAAGCTTTTTAATGTAGCCCATGACATCGAATGGTTTTGCATGTTTACGTGGCTGATTTTACTACACTCCAACCTCATTACATTACAACCTCATCTTACAAGAAAACAAGCTAGTTATATCAAAAAATTAATTATAAAGGTTATTTCTCGTGCCGTATTCATTGTAAAACTGCTTTTCATTTACTTCGTTATAACCGATATTTCGTTATATCCGTGTTTGTTATATTGAGGTGGGAGTGTACACAAATATATCTTTGTTTAATGATTTTAGCACGAAAAACTCCAGAATTTTAGATATTTTTTTTTAAGCTCTCCTAACCAACCCTTGCTTACTTTCTTTGCAATGCAGATATGTACAGCCAACTTTGAGTACCGAATGCGCAGCACACTTGCAGAAGTTCTACCTGCATCTGCGTGGCGTTCGGCAAGCGGACTCTGTGCCGATCACAACACGCCAGCTTGAATCCCTGATACGGCTGACCCAGGCCAGGGCCCGCCTCGAACTTCGCGAAGAGTGCACGGCTCAGGACGCCCTGGACGTGATAGAGGTACAGTGTGGCTCTCACCACACCAAGCGGAAAATTTGGAAGAAGCTGATGCTTTCAAACCTCATTATATCGAAGTTGCATATTATACATGAATATAAGTTCTTTATATAAAAAAAATAGTTGTAAACGTCTATTCCTAACACTATATCTGTTGCAAGACTATTAATTTACTTTGTTACAACCAATATTTCATTATATATCTGTGTTTGTTATATTGAAGTTTGGGTGTATGGATTGTGTGAATGTCTCTTTTAGTCACCGAGGAAGCGGTACATTTAAATGGCTAATAATGCATGGGGCTTGTAGGGCTTACCCAGTGCCCATAACAAACTAGTAACTGTTGCTGTTGATCACGTGTCACATTCTCACATGCCTGCATCTTTCTTTCAACGGACCTGCCACTGTGGTATAGTGGTTAAGGTGCTTGGCGGTTGACTTGTAGGTGGCGGGTTCGATCCTGGCAATGGCATTTCAATGGCGACGAAAGGCAAGAGGCCCACCTGCTGTGCAATGCTAATGCTGGTTAAAGAACACCAGATGGTCCAAATTGCTGGGGCCTTCTACTACGGCGTCCTTCACGAGCCTGTTGCGGTTTCGGGATGTAAAACACCAGATAGTACTATTACCGAAGGTCGTGTGTTCGTATCCCTGCAGAAGTGGCTGTGTTTTAATGGAGGCGATATGCAGGAGGCCCGAGTGTGTAGACTTAGGTGAACACAAAAAGCCTAGGTGGTCTAAATATCCATAGCACTTCACCGTGGCATCTCTCAATCATTTTAGGATGTTGGGATGCTAAACCACAGCAATTATTCTTATTTCTTTCATGTGTGACACATTAGTAGAGATCAATTCAAATAGCAACATTAATGGAAACCTCTAGGTGTAGCATTGACTGTTCTGTAGGGAGTTCTTAGACTACATGAGCTTCGAAAGTTTTACGTTTAATGGAGGGATAAGGTTGAAATGTTCCTACTTTCAGCTCATGAAGCACAGCATTGCGGACACTCAGAGCGACGGAATGGGATCCGTCGACTTCAGGCGCTCACAGCACGGTTCTGGCATGAGCAAGCCAGCTCAGGCCCGAGCGCTGGTGAGTGCACTCACCAAGGAATCGCAGCGAACGGGCAACCGAATCTTCACTACGAGTGAGTTGAGGACTGTGGCGGAGCACCGGTGCGGCATACTGTCGTCGTCGGTGCGTGTCGTCGTGGACGCCTTGAACGACCAGGGCTTTCTTCTCAAGAAAGGCTCTGGCCGATATCAGTTGCAGACCACCGATTTCTAGTGGGCACCATCTATTAAGCGTCTGAAGGTACGTGGCCACCTCTTCAGAAATGTTTTTCAGTTTCTACCTTTAGATGACTGCCTTGTGCCTAGCTTCAGAAGGACAGTTTTCAAGGAACCTTGAGATTTGCTATGCATAAAAAAGTGAAACACAAGTGTAACCTAAACTAAACCTATCATGCCAGTAGCCATAACTATGGATTTAACCGCACAAAAGAAAAATGGCTTGGCAGCACTGTAGTTGTATATGCAGGCTTCACAATGAGTTAGAATATCGAGCTATCATCAATATTAGGTATCTTGCTACCCAAAAATGAAAAAAAAAAAAGAATTTTCAGATGGTTGCATTTCAAATAAAATGATCTCATTTCAGACCTTATTCGCAATTTTCGGTTACCATTCAGTTCATTGCACAGCTATAATTTCTGTTATCAAAATGATTAAAAAAATGAAAAGAAACAACCCCTGGCTGATGTTGCCTGTGGAGCACAGAAACATGTGTCAATGAAGTGACCTTACAGGTATAATATCGACACCTGTAACAAAGATTTTCTTACGAATGGTCACAGAAAGGGTCGTTTCGAACGGCCTTTAGTAGGTGCTTCATTATGTCTATATATACTGTTAAACTCTTTGTTGAGGCATGCTCTGGGCAGCAGTTCTTGTCACTTACACGTGGTGTCTCTTACAAGCAGGGTACCTTGTATTCATTTTCTTATCAACGTCTATTTTACTGTAGGCACACTGGTGTCTCTTACACCCATGTTTCTCTTATATCATGATCTCTTATAAAGGGGTTTGACTGTATCTTACAACATATTTTTTTTTTTCAAATTCTAAAATATGTATACCGGTATATATATACATACTACATTATTTAATCATGCTGCTGATGGCACCACAATTGCACCTATCACAACGAGTACAAAATTTCAGCCTCCATGTCACACAGAAGCACTTGTTCTCAGCAACCCCCCTTGTAAAGTTGGACCCTTTCTCTTTGTGTGTACTCACTATCATTCTGTTGCAGATGCAAGTCATCTGTTGACTAGTATACTATTTTTCAACACAGCACAGCTGCATGTAAACGGTGCACGTACTGGTCACATCCCTGCCTCTCACTAACAGTGCCTTTATTGTTCAAGCAAAACACGGTAATTTATTGCACTTGTTAACACTGCGCACAACTGTTTGTTGAACTTCTTCTTTGTATTGTAAGATATTCAGTAACCATGACGTGGTTGTAATATATTAACATATCACATCAAATGAAAAATTCGTAAACGAGGTTGTGTCGAGCCGACGTTTCGACACAACCCCTGCTTACCGATTTTTCATCGCAAGCTTCCATCTTCCCTCTCCTACTGTTTTTTGCATATCACATCAAAGTATATTTGTTACGTTGCAGTCTTGTCTCTGAATGTTCTCATAGTAAATGTGCACCTGTAATAACTATCAGCCATATAGACAAGCATTTTTTTTATTGCCATTACATAGGCCTGCATCATAATAGTTTGATCTAAAATTTCGCTGATAAAAATATGGAGTAAGACGTTAAAATGTTGTAGCGAAAATCGCTTGGGATCTCACGTCCGCCATGCTTCTGTCTGTCTGCAAATAACGGCTTCCACTGTTCATAGCACCCTTGTTTATGTTGGTTTCGTACTTCCAGATGGCACTGGTCAGGGTCGATTAATATCACTTTCTTGCAAGAACTATGAATGATTACGTTGTATCGATCGCTACAAGAATTCCCGAGTTCGTAAAGAATAAGTGAAGTCATACAGGGATCTGTCGCACATTTTCAGTGCTTTCTCTTTTCTCATCTCGTCGAGTGCCCAGGAAGCTACACAGGGAAAAATGGTGCACGGGAAAGAAGTTTTGTCAGTATGCACCACGACCTTGAACGTGGGTTATGGAATGCAGTAGCTTTCTCCCACTGCGATTCATGGGTGCAAGCGTGATTCACGATGTAATGTTAGCGCTGGCGCATCGCGGTGCAGTCAGGAAACTGGTCTCGAAATCAAGAACTGTGCAGACGACTGTGCAAACAACTGCTGTGTAGACAACGCAAACACCAGCCACGAGGAGCGGAACTCCGTGGACGCCATATTAAAGAAAGAAGTCCCCAGAGTTGTCAGGGCAAGCTTTGTGCCTCATGTGCTGCACAATTGCGCTCGGCTTGCAGCAGACGAACTGTGAATGGATGCCGGGTGTTGTGACAAAAATTACTACCATTTTTCGTCACTTTCAAGGAGGCTTCACAACCTCCGACTGATAAGGGTACTTGCTTAGGCGTGTTGATAGCTATTCATTGTTACCGTCTAGTCCTTCATCTCAAGTGCTTGTCTTTCAAGCAGTCCGCAATAAGGTAACAATGCTCAGACTTGTTTGAGTTCATCTCTACAGAATACTTGGCTCTCTACAGCATACAGTTTCCTAAAATTAACTACAAGAGACTGGCACTGTGATCGTTCAGCGACCATGGGAATGATATGTTGTTGGATCTACCGCGGGAAAACGGTGGTGCGAAACGCCATGCTATGCACAAAACACGCAAAGAAGCGAGCGCACAGCGGTGCTGCACGTGCGCATGCAATAGAAGAAAACGCAGTGTTCAACAAGAGCAACGCGGGTCTCGGTTTCTTCTTCGTATCAACATATTAGTGCCGAAAACCTGGAAGAAGGCCAGCATCCTCTGTATCGATACGCACCCAAAATGGACAACATACGCAAACATTGCGGCATCATTCACGGTGCCACAACCCGACTCTGTCCGGAGCTAGCGAGATCCTCCTGCGAGGCACATTACCGTCTACCGCCGACTTGCAGGAAATCCTTGACGGGCTTTATGACAAAGATTCAGCGTTTGCCAAACTGGATAAACAGATTACTGACGCCCTCAACGGGGAAGAGTTTGGTGAAGAAATTGTGGCCGCTCTGGACTTCCACGACAAGATCGTGAAAGCCATCAGCAGGCTTCGATCTGCGATGAATGCGGGTGCACCTGTTGGCTCTATTGTCCTCAAAGAAGACAACCACAGCCTGGGCACGCGGGTACGGGCAAGGAATCCGGCAACTCCATGGGAGCTGCCCGCTCAGATACCACCGGCCAAACCCTCGTTGATCAGTAGGCCACGATCACCAAGCTTGTGAGCCCCTCGGCCGAAGCTTTAAGTGCCCGTCTTCAACAGCGAAAACCGTTGTCTTCAATGGTGAGAGCAAGGTTGAATGTCTGCTGGTCTGCAGTCACAGGCTACTTTCTCATATCGGGGGAGGATAACTGTCCTCGCATGCAATGGATATATTTCACCGGCCAGGAACACTGTATGGAAGTGGAATTGAATGAGCAAGCTGAACGCATGTCTGAACATTGCATGTCTCTGAAATTTACGGAGATTACGATGCACGTCTCTCCTGATGCTGTGCTTTCAGGCGAAGGCGCTTAAGTGATAGCCTTCGATCTCTACAACATCACGAGCACCACCAGAACGAAGATACGGTTGCACGTCGACGAATATTTTACATAGAAAACTGTCATCACATCACAATAGCCAATTTTGGCGCCATGGTTGTTTGCCGCCATCGTTGTCTTAATCGCTGTTGTGCGACATGACAAATGAAATGTCCACAGGATCGAGCAGGACTTGAACCCAGACCCTCTGTTTGGCAGGAGAGTATCTTACCACAGAGCCGTGCCGATTTTGAAACTCCTTCACAAAATTTTTTTTTTTTCTCGGACATTCTCACGGTCATTGCATTGCAGCTGCTGGTCATATGTGTTTAACACTTCTCACCACTGCACACAATTGTTTTTAAGTCTCTTTTTATTAAAAGGTATTCAGAAACTGTGATTTAGCTGCAATATGTTCGCACACTTGTCAGCATTGCACAAAGCTGTCATTACATTTCTTGTTTGTATTGTAAGACATTCAGTAACTGTGATGTGGCTTCAATATGTAACCATGTCACAAGAAAATGCTTGTTAGGTCACAGACTTGTCATCTAACTGTGTTCATAATAAAAGTATCAATCATATAGACTAGCATGTCCTTCACTGACATTGTGTGGCTTCACATTATAATAGCTTGATCTGAAATGTCGTTCATAAAAATGTAGAATAACAAATAACAAATAAAAATATTTATGACAAGCAATGCCGTTTGTGTGATCTCGCATATGGCATGCTTCTATCAATGTTGCAATAATGGCTTCCACTGTTTATGGCATACTTGTTTGCATTTATTTTGGACCCTCTGGCAGCACAAGTCAAGATTGATTGAAATTACTGCCTTTCAAGAACCCTGTAGTGTTGCCATTCCCATTTTTCATGTTGTTTTCCTGCACTATGTGCAACTTCAACTAATTTTATAACAGGTGCACTGGCAGAACTATTCTAACAAGCTCACTCTATTGACACTGTCATCATGACAACCATCATTGCCTGGCTGCTTAATTGATGACCATTAAGGACTCATAGCTTTCGTTTCTTTGTTACCTGGTACTGCTGCTTTATTCTGCTGGTATAAGGGATGGTCCCACGCATCATAAGCTCTGGCACTCTGCAACTCTCATGGGATAACGAGATATCTTAGCTTTCCAAACAGATCTGTGATGGTTCACAGTTTTCATTGATCAAGGCTGAATTATATGTTTCCACGGTTGATGGATAAAGCATACTCAATGCAAGGATGAAAAATCGTAACTGTGCTTCAATCTCTTACGTCGGTCTACTGCGTGCATGTAATTTCCATAAGAAATATGGCTGTACCTCAGATGCATAGGCTGCGTCACACTTTTATATAGTTCATGCCACTGTTTCAAGTGTCCTGCATTTTTGCTTTGTTTACGTCACACCTGTATCGTGGTCAACACACAGCACAAACAGTGTCCAAATTGCTGCGTTTCTGCGCCGGCCAGAATCAAAGTTTGGAACGCATTTCTCCCATGAGCTTGTCAAGCCTCATAGCCATGGGCAGGTCACCCTTGAGCGACAGCTTGCCACCCATGAAGGCGCTCGTCGGATTCAGCTTTCCCGTGAACATCTTGACGAAGGTGTCTTTCTCCATGACAAAGGTCACATCAGGCTTCCCCTGAGGTGGGTCTCCCTTGCCTACGGAGCCCTTGCCATTCTTGAGGTCGACGTACCACTTGTTAGGCTCACCTAGGGAGAGAATGGAGAACTTTAGCAAGTCCGGCATTCCAGTAGACACAACGGAGTTAGTGTAGTTGTGACATACTGGGTTAGCATTACAGGTCGACAAACTCGCTCATGGGTCGACTCGTTCGGACTCACCCAGGCTCGGATAAAGTCGTGAGTATGAGTTTGAGTAAGCCCGGGTTAGTAATGCTTTGGTGAGCTTGAGTGCAAGTGGGTCCAGTTGAAGAAAATTTTTGTGAGAGTGAGTTCAGCTGAGGAAAATTTTTGTGAGTCTGAGTGAGTCCAAAATGCGAGATATACTGTGTGAGTTGGAGTGAGTTTCATTCATGTTTGCCGACCTATGGTTAGCATGCACTGGTAGTGAGATATCAAGATTCCCTGTTTAAGTGCAATGCCACAAGAGCTGCTAGTACTTTTTCTCCTTGGGCACTCTTACCAAAAGAAACATTTAAAAAGACAATGAATACACGACTCGCCTGCCACTGCTAGTTAACACATGCAGCAAAGCAGATGAGGTCACTGTAGTAATAATTCCGAGCTTGTTAATTTCGGTTCTCCAGTACCAAATGTTGACATTAATCTGGCCGCTCGTGCTTGCACCTTTAGAAGCACTGTTATCCGCAAACACCATGAAGTTCGTCATCTGATTTGAAATTCTCGAACGCTTCAAGATGCGATGCCAATGAGATCAATGCTGTGCCACAGGCTTCAGTTTTTAAATCATTTAATTCCATCTTTGCAAACCAAAAAAAACTAAAAGCCTTCCAGAAGCACCCTCATATTTTCAAGTTTGTGTGTGTACCCATTTCTTTGACATCTGCTTTTATCATTAAGAATGTGCCTGCGTTGCTTTAGGCAAGAAAAAAAAAACTTGGCTAATGGGGCAATTTTTATGAGACATCTAATATCAGTACTTGCCCAAAAGTAATATTTGAGATAGACACAACACAGCTTTGTTTAGGCAGTGAGACCACGCATGTGCAATTTGCGTTCTGAGGGCAGAGATTCGCTTTTTTTTTTCTGAGGTTGCAACTAATTGTGTTGCATGTGCTTTGAGGTGTGTATTCAGCCATAAAAGTTTAGCATGCATGACATACCTTTGACATCGAAAACGAAGACGCCACCGATCTGGTTGACCAACTCTTCATTCAAGTACACCGAAATCATGCTGAACACTCCTTCCACCGTCTCTGCTGATACTAGCTGGGCCGCCATGCTTCTGTTTTTGCTGCCTGCAATGCAACGTGCATGGATAACTTGTTAGTTGTGGGAAAACACATGTGTCGTCGGCAAAATTAACATTAGGTACAATGTTCAGTGACAGCATCAAAACCTGACTACAGCTCGGGTCTTGACGCTGTCCTTGATGCCGAGTCTTCGAAGGACAGGTCGACATTATGTGTCGCGCAAATGCGCTGCTTTGCGTTTGAGCACACGTTCCAGCTTTTAAACTGCAAAAGCGTAGCTGCAATATGGTTGATTGATTGATATGTGGGGTTTAACATCCCAAAACCACCATATGATTATGAGAGACGCCGTAGAAGGATGGCTCTGGAAGTTTTGACCACCTGGGGTTTTTTAACATGCCACCAAATTTGAGCACACGGGCCTACAGCATTTCCGCCTCCATTGGAAATGCAGCCGCCGCAGCCAGGATTCGATCCCGCGACCTACGACTCAGCAGCCGAGTACCTTCACCACTAGACCACTGCGGCAGGGCAGCTGCAATATGGTCAAATTGGTCTTGAGCATTTGCGCTGTAATGTAATTGAACGAACTCGACATACCCATTGTCCAGTTTGTCCATTATGTTACAGTGTGATTACCCAAAATTATCTGAAACCAACTGGCCTCTATTTCTTGTCCCCTTGCAGTGTCCCCTTACTACTCATGGAAACTTTGTCTTTTGGGCTAAGAGACGTTAAAGGTACGTTTTACATTGCTTTAGGGTCCTTGATGGTTGTACAACGATCAGCAGTAGCACAGTAGCGTGCAAAATGGGGAACTGTTGCATTACAGGGATCTACTGCCAGCTAAGTTCACCTTATTGTTCATTTGTTCATTATTTAGAGTTTTTGTAAGCATTAAATGCTTTAATAGAGATGCTTTGGGACATAAGGGTAGCATCACCTGGTAACTGTTGCAATAGCTAAGTGACTGTGTCGTTAATCTTCTGAGACTGAATTAGAGTCTGGCCGTGGCACCGAGAATGCTTACATACAACGATGCTTACCTTGTGTGTGTGTCAGAGCATACAAAGTGGCAAAAATTTTAATAACTTCACTTTCTCCACCGCAGCTCATTTCAGTCTGCAGTCAAACCAAACGTAAAATCTGACTATGTAGTTTGGTTTTGGTGTTCTTTCGCAACAGATGTTCAATACTGCACGTTTGTGCAAGCTCAATGACTAACACTCCACGCATGATTGATCACATTTTGTTCACTTAGCTTTTCTCGAGATTTCATAGGCCATTCTTGTTTATTATGCGCAACTGTTTTGATGTATACAGTTATGTAAGCAGAAACACATGCATGCCCAGACCCGGTAGTATTGTTTATGGCCGCCTCTGAAATGCATGGTTTGCAAGTTAGAGCATTTGTGGCAAAATGAAAATTTCAAGTGTTAAACGGGTGGAGTGTGAGCTTGGCTTAGAAAATGGTTCCGACGTATGTCTCAGGTGCGTTTTACCGGTGCTTCCGTTTTCTGTGATTGCGCAACTAAACCTTCCGGTTTATCGTAGATGCAGTGCGTGAATAGTATACTTTGGCACCATGCCGAAAAGCCCATTCTACCTGTGGGTCACTGCAGAGCAGTAATCGCAGCGTATTGCCATCCTCGTAGGATGGCCGCACCTTACGAAAAGGTTCTGAAAACCTAAAGTAGCTCCATTCACATATTCATTGTACTGCGGTAAAGGATGGGGAGTGGATGGACACGTGTGCTCTGTGGCGCGCGCTCGCTCAAAAAGTACTACATGCTCGCAAACAGGTTTGTAGTGTGCCCATAAACAAAACAAAAAACAGACCGGCCGCCGACGAAGCGGCTCTTTCGAAGCGGCGTAGTCGTAACGTAATTGCCCACTCATTGTGTAACCGACAGGCGCTCGTGATCGGTTACGCAAGTGGAGCGGCGGCGACACTCGCGAAAAGCAGTGAAAGTATCGTGCCATTCGCTTCTTAGCGCGATGGGACGTACCTTCAGAACCGGCCATGATCGCGTGCCAGTCGGATGCGACCAGAAGAACGCCGCTTTCTCGTTCCGTCCGCGTACGTGCGACACTGTACAGCAGAGAGTACTTTTGTCCGAGCGCTGCGCGTCGGCGATTAGGCGGGTCAAGGACTGCGAACGGCGATCATATGACGCTTACGCGTACCGCCGCCCGCGGCCGCGAGCCCCCCGCTCGGGCGCCAAACCTCGCCTGCAACGCCGCACATCTTTGAGGCCTTGCGAGCTGCCGCTGTCCGTCAAGAGATGTCGCCAAACGTCGCTTTCTTTGGTGGAGGTGGTGGAAATAAACAGAGAGGTGCATAGGTGGGGTGGTTTTCAACGAGACAGAATTCACTTCGATGGGCGGCTAGGTCATGAGCTGGGTTGGTGACTTGCAGGACGCGCAGTAGCTTTTTTGGGGGGCAAGCGAGCCCTTCGGGGTGCAGGATAGCTAGTAACGAGGAAAACAACCAGGGAGACTCTTCGACAGGTGGTATGGACTGATACGATTCCAAAGTGGCACCAATATCTAAGATAGGTAGAGTCCGGGGCATAAATAGACGTAGCCACGGGCGCCGAGCCAATTCAGACATAGGGTATATTAACATGCAGGGTGGTAGGAACAGGCTGAAGTGGGAAGAGATAGAAGAACAGCTAAGGGAAGAGAAGCCGATGGTATACGGTTTTGTAGAAACACATCTCAGGGACATGGAACAACCTCCGAACAATCCGGACTACGCGTGGGAATATTGTAATAGAACAGAAAGCAGCAGAAAGGGGGGTCGTATTGGGGCATTCCTTCATAAAAGTACAGACTGACAAAGGGTCAAGCAGGAGTGCAAGGCACATTTATGGCTAAAAGGGAAAGGGGCAGGTCAAATGACACTCCTTGGTTTCGTGTACTTGTGGACGGGAGCAAAAGCCAGAGAGGAAAACCAGGCAATGGTAGAGTGTATATCAATAGACATTCAGGAGTTGGGAAGAGAGTGCGAGATAATTCTACTAGGAGACATGAATGCGCACATAGAATATATAGATGGGTATACCGACCCGACAGGCAAAATGATCATGGATATGTGTGAAAGGCTTGATTTGATCATTTGCAAAAATACCGAGAAGTGTGAAAGGCAAATAACATGGGAGGTAGGAAGGCTTCAGTCGACGATAGATTATACACTGATGTCACATAGGATGTATGATAAGCTCAGGGGAATGCACATAGATGAAGGTGGCCCCAGAAGTCTGGGTAGCGATCACAAACGTATCAAGCTAAGTTTTGGAAGAGCAGTGAAAGTGGGAAGGAGACAAGAAGAGCAACTACAGAAAAATTTTTATCCAGAAAGGCAAATTGAAATAGCCACTAAACAAATTGAGAAAGTAATCACAGAGGATAATAAAACAGTGTGGACATACACGAATCTAATTAGACTGTTTGAGCTAGAGTTTGCTAAGACGCGTGACAAGTCACCCCGGAAAAGAAGACACAAACCCAAAAGTTGGTGGGATGAGGAAGTTAAGAGATCCATAGCAAAACGTCAGGAAGCCTCTAGGGAACACAGACAGACATGCTAAGCAGCGAGGTGAACCGACAGATGATGTTGAAATAAAATGGGCAACCTTTCTAAGCTGTAGAAGGGATGCATCCCTTCTGATCAATGAAAAGATTAGAAGGAAGGGAGCTCAGTGGCTGGCAGAAGTACATAAAAAAGATAGAAAGGCAGCTGCGAAATTTCGGAACCATCTAAACTCCCTAAGAAATGAGACGAGCCTAGTGCAGAGATTTATAACTACAGCCCAAGGTGCTAGGCTAGAAGGGGACGAAGCTATTGAATATATAAGAACAAGGGTGACAGAAAAATTTCAACAAAGAAGTACTTTATGCACCACAATAGACAAGGACGAATCAAGTGGTGCAATGGCTCCATTTTCACAACCAGAGTGGCAAAGGGCTGAGAAAAGGGTTCATAGTAGTACATCAACAGGCCCAGATGGCATTCCAATTATGCTGATAAAGACATTAGGTCCAAAGTCTAAGCAGGCTTTGAGAAAGGCAGTGAGCAAAGTAACAATCGATGGTGAAGTTCCCGATGGATGGAAACTTAGCAGGATGAGCATGATCTATAAAGGAAAGGGGGACAAAGCTGACATAAACAACTACCGTCCTATAACATTGACATCAGTGGTCTACAGGCTGGCGATGCAGATTTTAAAGGAAAGACTGCAGGCATGGATAGAGGATGAGGGCTGGGGGAACTGCAGAAAGTGTTTCGAAAATACAGGAGGTTGGAAGACAATCTGTTCTCACTGACGCAGTGCATTGAAATAGCGGGAAAGGAACACAGGCCCCTGTGACTAGCATTTTTGGATATCAAGGGAGCGTACGATAACGTGGTTTAAGAGGACTTGTGGGCAATACTGGGCACACTAGGTGTGGACGATGAAGTCACTAAGTTTTTAAAGTATATCAATAAAAGTAACCAGGTAGTTATAAAGTGGGAAAAACACAGAGGTAAAACGGGGGCTTAGGCAGGGGTGTCCCCTGTCACCCTTACTATTCATGATGTACCTACAAGGATTAGAGGCCAAATTAGAGGGAAGTAGACTGGGCTTCAACCTCTCTTTTGTCAAACAAGGAAAACTCATTGATCAGGCACTACCAGCAATAATGTACGCAGATGATATAGTGCTAATGGCCAACAACAAGGAAAATTTGCAGATATTGATGGACATCTGCGGTAATGAGGGAGATAGGTTAGATTTTACATTCAGTAAGGAAAAATCAGCAGTCGTGATTTTCAATGACAACGAAGGTAGTGAGCTTAGAATACAGGAGGTCACGCTAGAGATAACAGATATATACAAATATCTGGGCGTATGGATAAGCAATGGGACCGAGTACCTGAGGGAACACGAAATATGTGTGACGACTAAATGTAACAGGAATGCAGCAGTGATGAAAAATAGGGCACTGTGGAATTACAATAGGTATGATGTTGTGAGAGGAATATGGAAAGGGGTCATGGT